ATAGTACAATTCATTACGTCAGCTGAGACTGCCCATCCTGACAGGTACCATGATTTCCCACTCTGGTGAAGTGGTTGTAAAGGCGCTGGCTCAGATGGAGGGCCCCACAGAGAACGTTTCCTTTTGTATGTGCCCCTACTGGCTGGTTCAGATGGTGAAGGCCTTTAGGAATGAGCAATTCTCTGCAGGGACAGCCACCCAAGGGTTTCAGAAAGAAGCTCCCCTTTCTCTGGGCCACTAAATGATTCATGGTGTGACAGAAAAATGGCCTGGCCTGCTGGCTTGACACCCCCCTGCTTTTCATTCTCCGCCTCCCCTTCATTCTGTTCCTGCCCCCATTCCTGCCTGTTGCCCACAGACTGGTTTAGTTGGCAGAAGGACTCAATTCTTCCCTAAACAGATCATTCCAGTGGCTCTTGGGGACAGTGACAGGCCCATACATGGCCTCAATTAGTCCCATGCGCTCCTCTATGCCTCAAGGTTTGCTGCTCTGTCCCTACTGAGCCCTGAAGGAGGCAGGAGGAGGGTAGAGAAAGTGCTCTGTCCACTGGCAACCAGACACTCAGGGTGGGTAAGGGGAACATGAGCTGATCCACTGTTACCACCCAGGTAGACCACCTAGAAATCTGATGACATGCAGAAAAGAAACACAAGAGTCTAATTGTGCTGCTTTAGCTGGAGTTTGCTGAAGATACTCATGCATTTTCATGGAGTATCTCTGCCTCCCTGGTAACATCTGCCTGGTGAGTTTCAGATGAGTTTCAGAGGTGCTTTTCTGTAAATTTGCAGCAATGCAGTTCGAATAGCCCAGCATTGTGTATGATGCAGAGTGAGGGGTGGGCCTGAAGCTGTGCTGTGGTCCCTATGAAGTCGGGACTAGGTGATGCCGCCTCTAGAAGTAGCTCACCGCAGGGCTCAGCAAATATGTCTCGAACAAATGGGCTGTGTTCATGAGGAACAGTGGTTGGGACTTCAGCGGTCCACAGGGACAACTCTATCAGTCACAGCTCAGGTAGAAGGCAGAGTAGGAGAAAGCGCTGGCATTTCAAGAGCACAGTTCTGGAACTGCAGCTGCCTCTACCTCCAGCCAGGTAACCAGCAGAGGCGTGGCCACCAGTTACACACCGGGCTTATCCTGCTTCTGACCTCATTCTCTGTCAACATGCAAGGTCATGTAAATCTGACACACCTTTGTTTCCTTCTTGGGTGAATATTAATGTGGGCGTGACAGGGTAAAGAAGGAAATGCTGGGAAAAGCCAACCAGGGAGCTCACCCTGGCTGTGGAGAACAAGCCACACCACAGAGGGACGTCTTCCAAGAAGGTTTCCTGCCATCTAGGGGAATATGGAGGGCCTACTTTTTCTGGTAGCTCCCTAGCTGGGCTGAGAACGGAATGACAGGCCACAGACCACAGTGTGGGCATGTTTTATACACACACACCCCTCATGCATGCATATCATACAGATGAACAACAGGACTTAATCTACAGGAAGCAAGCCCCAGATTTTCCTTGCTACCATCGCTTCCTACTCAACACACCTGTTTGGAATTCTACCACATCAGTTCTCAAATGCCCTTCCCTGCATGTCATTCTGAAGCTTTAAAACAATACATAAAGGCAAACCTTTCAAAAGAAGAGCATCCCTCTCCATTGCCCACAGCCTCCATTTCCAAGCCTCACATCAAGGCCCTCTGAGGTTTGCTCCCACTTGACCTGCCTAACCTCAGCTTACACTACTGGCCTCCCCAGCAAGCCTAGACCTGGCTTCCGCAAGCCCCAGCAGAAGACACTGCTCCCTCGTTCCACCCTGGTGGTGCCTGATTTCTATGTGGGGACCCTCCGGCATCATACCCACCTCCCCAGGGCACCCTGTCTGCAGCCGAGTGAGGCTTGGGGCCTCCCACAGCAGTTTTGCTAATGACTATCACTTAGATTAGCTTACTGTCCACTTAGATGATCATCCTGTCACTTAGATTAGCTCACTGTCCACTGCCCTCTACCTACCAAGCATTTTACACATGTTACTTCCCACTCCTCAAAATAGCCCACAAATGGGAATCGTTATCTCTGTTTTAGAGAGGAGAAGAGGGAGGCTCAAGAAGGTTCAGAGCCCTGCCCAAGGTCACTCAGTACACGGGGCGAAGCCAGGACCTGAGTCCAGATCTGTTTGCTTCCAAAGTCTGTTCATTTCCCACTGTTTCCTGGGGGCAGGAACCATGTCTTAGGTATTGGTTTTCACATGGTCCAACACCATCCTTGATAACAGCTACTAGCTCCCATTCATCAAATGCCATCACGTGTCAGGCACCCTGCCAAGTGGCCATGTAAGATGCCACTTATTTAATTCCCTGGGACCTAAGTACCATCTCCCCATTTTACAGATGAAGAACTGAGGCAGAGAGAGACTCAGGGACCTGCTCGAAGTCTCACGGCTGACCAGGAATTCAGGCCACCTCCCTCTGAGCCTCCAGTCGGTCCTGCTTTTACTCTGGAAGTTCCTACCGTGTCAATTGCTCAAATTCAGTTATATTTCTTTCTTCGTCTTCTTTTAATGCAGTGACATCCTCTATCCAAACCACACCGACAGCAGGAGAAGCAGAGCTGCCGAGGGTGAAGAGGGCTCGGGGCCCCAGCTCAAGCTCCTTCCCAGGCAGCCCCGAGGCTCCTCTGCAGAACATGGTTATGAAACTGCTGCTCCAACCCAGGCACCAGGTTCCTCCTGCTGTTATTCCTTCCTCCCTTCTGAAGCTGAGGCAGCATTGGGAACTTCCTAAAGCTGGACGCTGCCGAGGCTATCTCTGCACCCTCTAGTCTGGGATGCTAACCAGTGATGCCACCAACTCAGAGACCAGCTTTTTATTGCCACACACCAGGAATAAGGCATTCTGGGGAACTATCTCCATGACCAAGTTTTTTCGTTTGTTTGTTTTTTAAGACAGGGACTCACTCTGTTGCCCAGGTTGAAGTGCAGTGGTAAGATCTCAACTCACTGCAACCTCCGCCTCCCGGGTTCAAGTGATTCTCTTGCCTCAGCCTCCCAAGGAGCTGAAATTACAGGCATGAGCCACCACACCTGGCTAATTTTTATATTTTTAGTAGAGACCAGGTTTCACCATATTGGTGACGTGGGTCTTGAACTCCTAACCTTGTGATCTGCTTGCCTCAGTCTCCCAAAGTGCTGGGATTACAGGCGTGAGCCACCGCGCCCAGCCCCAAGTTGTTTTAAGCCTGCTTTTATTGAATACTGGCTCTATTTTAGGCTCTGTGTGCATACATACTTTACAATACACGTTATCCGATTCAATCCTCAGGATAACTCTTTGGGGGAAGAGCTTTTTACCTCTCCTTCCCAAATGATGAAACTGAGGCTCAGAGAGGTGAAGTGACTTGCCTAAAGTAGCACAGCTCATGGTGGGTCCAAGATGCAAACAAACAAAGGCAGTCTAACTCCAGTCTTCGTTTGCAAAACCACTACCACGCACACAGTACACATACGACCAATTTTCTCAGAATCGGAGTAAAACAAGCTTAGCACCAAGGATCATTTCATCCTTGATGACTGCAAAGGCACTTAAATGTCTTCCCCAGCCTCCTGGACATCATTACCAACCTGGGTAATCATTTTAACAAGTCTTTGGCTCTAGAACGACACTGTCCCATACTGTAGCCACTAGCCGTATGTGTCACTGCTATTTAAATTAGCAATTTAGTTCCTCAGTTACAGGAACCACGTTTCAAGCACTTAATTAGTCACACGTGTCTAGTGGCTGCCATGTTGGACAATGACGATGGAGAATATTTCGGTCACTGCAGAAAGTTCTTTGCACAGAGCTGCTGTCAGAAATTAGGTTTGCAGTGATCACAAGATTTCTTTTTGACTCAATCTCTGCTGTCAAAATTGTTTACATGCAATTCATCAGTTTTTGCTAAAAGTGCAGCGAAGGATGTGAAAAGGCACAATTCTGGCCATTGGCGTTTTCGCGATGTTTTGACTCCCGTGAGTGAGGGGCTGAACTCACAGATATGCATGCCCGGAGACCCCCGTCCCTGCAACATACCTAAATGGCATCGGATGCGGATGTTGGTGGGTCCATAGTGCTCCGTTATCACGGTCCCAGGGCTCAGCACAGAGATGCACGCGTTCCCAAAAACATTGTTCCCAATACAGGTCCGAAGGCTTCCCAGCAAGCGGTACGTCCGTGGGCACTTCCTGCAGTTCCTGGGAACACAAACGCCCTGATTGACCAAGTAAAAGGTGAACCACTCCCCGCTGGGGGTGCTGTTCATTTTCCATCCTTGCGGGAGACTGCAGTTTGAGAAAGCTTTGTAGAGGGTCTCAAACTCACACAGGATGGTCTGGAAGTTCCGTTCCAGCACTTCCACGTCGTGTTTCTGTGCGTCCCGGGAGAAATAGGGCGTGGTGGGGAGGTCGGGCAGGAAGAAAACTTCGGGCTTCTGGATGGAGGGCCGGCTGTTGAGGTACCGGCCCTGCTCGCGGATGCCCTTGTGGATGCGGCCCATGCCGGACCAGGAGTAGCGCTTGGCGTACTCCTGCAGGTTGTGGTACAGCTTCTGGTTGAGGCCCTCGTGGTGGGTGCAGCGCACACACTCGGGGGACTGGCAGTACACGTAGCCGTTCTGCAGCCCGTTGGCATCGGCAGCCTGCATGAGGGAGTTGACGGAGACGTAGGGCCGGGGCTGCTCCCTGCCCACGTGATAACAGTACCACACGAACAGGACCAGGAGGCAGGCCACGGTGATGACGGCGGTGGTATCGCAGTCCCGCACTGACTGGATGCCGGTGGCGATGCAGTCCCTCAGGCCATCCAGCGACCAGCTCCAGGCCACCAGCCACGCGAGCGACATCTTGGGGAGTCCTTACTGGGGGTGTGAAGCAAGTTCAGACAATCAGTCCTTGGGGGTCCCAAGGGCGCCCACACCATGCAGGTTAGCGTCGGGGGAAAGGAGTGGCTGGGGCAGGAGGGGGCATGGCGGCCACCGATGCTCAGATCCGGCCAGGGGTGTCATTGATGAACGACGAGGTCAGCTGTGCCCACCACTCCACTTCTGGCAAAAGTCACTGCAGTGGGTTTGAAGAGGCTGGTTTTTGTCACATCATCAAGTGCCGCTGGTCCCTGTGAAAGGATTTTTTTAGAAAGACCAAACCTGGGATGGAAAAAAAAAATCAGCATCAATTTTACACCTGGAAAAGTCCTCAACTGAAATGTAACCTGTTAGGTCATTCTGCAGGATCCTAGGTGGTGGAGGTCACACTTTGCAATCTTGTGTATTCTCTCCCCATTCTACTGTCACCCCCCATTTCCCCAAAAGGCCAGTAGCATTCCATCTGCATCAAGTATTGCTTGTAATTACAGTGGCCCCATCTTTGTACCCTCTGTAGGAGGTGCTATTATCCCCATTTTATGGATGAGAAAACCGAGGCCCAGAGTACTTACATAACTCATGAGAGTTAAACAACCAGGGCTGGCAAACAAACCCTATCTGACTTCAAGGCCCACGTCTATCCGTTTTGCTGCGCTGTTTCATCGTGGGTACGTAACCAATGCTTCTACTCCTGTAATTGTTGGACCTTTTATTCAAAAGAATCCTGGATTCAAAAGCATCTTAAAAATGGCAAAGGGACTTAACAACTGCATATTCTCCATTTCACTTTCTGTTTGCAAGCATTTCTTCATCCTTGTTTCATCCCTGGTGCCCTTCTGACAGAGGCTGGGCTAATACCAAGTTGTAACAGGAAGTGGGCACTCTGGGATCATGCCTGTGGCAGACAAAGGGCATTTTCTGTCTACCCACATGGAGATTACCTACTGGCCTCACCCATGGGGTCATGAAAGGAAAATGAGGGAGGTAGAATTAAAATAAAATCCTGCCAGGCCCTTGCCTCAGTTTCCCAAAGCCAACAGCATCTCCAAAATAGCCAGGAGTACTTTGCTACTTACCTAGTGGGGGGTTAGGGCCAGGGCCTGGGACCCTCACTGTCCTAATATCCTAATATGACCAGGGCCTAAATGTCATACTGCCTAAGTCTCTAAAACCCCAGCTGTGTTTCCCAGCATTCTCCAAAACCCTTTGTTCATCCTGCTTCTTCTAATACGATGAGAATGGCCAGGTCTGTGGTTCTACAAGTCTGATACTCAGGGAGCATCATTTAGAATATTCCTTCATACTCTACCCTCTCACTTCTCTCTCAGGAATATGGGAGGGCAGCTTACAAAATGGAAAAGTTGTGCTCTCCCTTTTCCCTGGGGACTAAATGTGGCCTGAAAATTCTTGCAGCATAGCAGAGAAAAGCCCCAACTAGAGATGGGCCCCACAAGTATTCATCCCAACCTTGGGGAGATCACTTCTCCTCAGCCTCAGTTTCTTTATCCGTGAAATGGGTTGAAGCTTATCTCACTTGATGAAGATGCATGATGGTGGACGCACAGTACTCGAGATCACATCACGATGAGCACCCAATATGTGCAGGTGATGGTGAGGATGGATGGCATCCCATAATGTGTAGCCAGCATTCCAAAAGTGGGGCCTGGGAGAAAGGTCTCCCAAGACTCAGAGTTCCAACAGTTAAAGGTAAATCCTGGACACCCTTGTTGCCTCATATGTTAAGTGGTTTTTTGGTCCCCAGACTTGCTAAGCTAAAAATGAAAGGGAAACCTGAGGTGCTCATTAACTGCCTACTTGCTTCTTAGCAGTTTCGGTTGGATAATCACTTGACTATAATGTTTAGTAAGTCAAAAACACACATGCTGAATATTCATGGAAATTTTTTATGTTTCTAGGAAAAATACAAGAGTGGGGAGGTTAGAAGCTAAGGTTCTTTTTTTTTTTTTTTTTTCTTTCTCACACATTTTCAATTTCTTCTCAGATTCAGGAAGAGGAAAAGGCTCTGACTTATGGGGGTTAAGAAACCCCCTCCAGCCCTGTTTCTCTCCTAGTTAGACCATAAACTGGCAGCTGTTACCTCTTTAAGAAAAGGAAGGAAAATCTAGATGCAAGAAGTGTGCTTGCAAGCCACCTCCCAACAGAACCCCAGAGTTCCTGAAATTCAGTGTGAAACAATCATCTATGTGATACCAAGCACTTTTACTAAAAGGATTTCCCCCGTCCCTGAGCTAAATCTCTAACTGGAACTTTTCAACGGGGTCTGTCGGGAGGAAAGGTTTTTCTTAAATGTTCTAAGAGTGAGTGGGTGATAATTTAAAAAGTACCCGTAAAGCATTAGTTCCCATCAGCCCTGCTAATCACTTAAGTTTAAGTCAAGCAAAATGCAGACACAGAAAACAGGGCGGATGATGGAAAAACCTCTCCACGGAACACCTCAGCCCTTACCCAGCCATGAGCCCTCCCTACCGCTGAGCTGTAAGCAAAAGGAAGATGTAAACGATCCTGAACCCCAGCTTTGGACCCTCCTCCCGAGAGTATAAATAGAACTGAGAGCTGAGGTTAGGACTTTTCATAGCTGTCAGTCACTTTTAGCCAAAATATGCCAATAGGCCCCTGCACCTGGAGGTGGATTTACGAGCTCAAAGCTGAACTGTGACAACAAAAGAAATGCTTACATTTGTAGAGTGACTGGCAGTTTATTAAGCACTGCTTCAAACATTGAATCCTCACAGCTAGCCAGTGAACTCCCCATCTCCCCAGTGAAGGGGCGGGGGAGATTCTCCCGCCCCCCCCCCCCCCCACAGCTCCTTGCCCCAGTGACCACAGTAGCTTCCAGCTTCCTTCACGCATCTGTTCATTGTCATCTGTGTTATTTCTGTCCTCATCAGGGATGGGACATCTCACTGCAGCTCTGCACTTCAATCATATGCAACCCCAGATCTTCCAGCTCAGATGGCTCTGGGGGATTGAATACAAATCCATGGCCAGTTGGTAAGCAAGTCCAATATTCTGACACCATGAACACCGGGGAGAGCCGGTCTCAGGCCTGACCGGGTCAACCTAGTGCAGATGTTCATTCCCAGAGGCTGCCCAATGCCAAAAAGTGTCTGCTCACCCTCAGGATGAAGCTAAGTCACCCTGGAAGACCCAGTGAGCAGCACAGCCCTGGGCAAAGTGTGTGATGCATGTCACCCTCTCTACTCAGGAGCCAGAGAGCTGCCCTGGGGCCAGCCCTTGCCAGGCGCAGACCTGGGGACCTTCCCTCCTCCTCTCTTGGCTAGCTTTTCAGCACCCACCTGCCCTGGAGAGTGGGAAAGAGGGGAGGGCTGAAGATGGATTAACACAGATGGTGACCCCCAGGAGGTCAGGGCAGGAGGAGGATGGGACGATAGAAAAGTGGGCGATCAGATCAAGACTGTGGAAGGAGGTTGATGGCGCCTGATAATTCGTGGGACAGGAGAGGAGGGTCACCACGTGAAATATGGGAAGTGGGTGACGCTGAGGGCTGCGGGAGGAGGAGAGGAGGCGGGGAAAGAGGGGTCACAGGGGAGGAGGGAGATGGAGGAAGGGGCCACGACGGGGCAGAGAGGAGGAGGAGGAGAAACAGGAGGTCTAGGGAGGGTGATGCCCGGCTCCGAGGCGGCGGCGCTCAGCACGCACCAGCTCTGGCCTCGGCCGGGCCAGGATGCGGGCGCCCGGGTCCCGGAGCATCCTCGGCGGGGGCGGGGGCGGGGGCGGGGGCGGGGGCGGGGGCAGCACCGGGAAGGGAGGGCCGCGGGCCTGCAGCCGCCCGGCTCCCGCCTCCAACCCCTGCCCGGCCGAGCCGCCCTCCCTCCCCGGCAGCCCCCGGAGACGAAGCTTACCTGAGCCCGGGCGGCTGCCGGGACCCAGGAGACGCCGCCGCCCGAGGGCGCGGATCTGCGGACGCCCCCTGCCCCGCGCCGCGGAGCCGCCGCCCGGCCGCTGCCCAGCCCACGCCGCGGGAGCCCGAGCCCGAGCCCGAGCCCGAACCCGAGCCGCGCCGGTGCCCCCCGCCGGTGCCGACGCCGCGCTGCGCTCCGCGGGGCCGCCGGGACCACAACTCCCACAATGCCGCGCGCGCCGGGTTGCCGGGGGGGCGGGGACTGAGGGCGGGGCCTGCGGGCCGGGGGCGGGGCCTGGGACCACCCCCTGCACCCGGCACCTGCGCTCGCCGTGCGGGATACGACCCTTGGCCGGGTCCGCAGCAGCTCCGGAGGGTCCTGGCACTGCGCCCGGAGACGCAGCGCCCCCCAGCCTGAGGGTTCGCGCAGGCGGCGGCGGGCGTGCTCATTCAGTAAGAAGGGCTCGTGGCGCTTCCTTCGCTCTTTCGTTTCTCGCTCTCTGTCTCTCTTCTCTCTCCCTCTGTCTCTGTTCCTGTCTGAGTCGCCTTCGGCTCCATTTCCTCCTTTTCTTTCTCTTTCACTTACCCCCCTCACTTCCTCTCGTCCGAACGCCTTCTTTCCTTTATTGATGGACTCAACACACACTTCTGAAGCCCTCAGGCACTTGGAATGAAACCGCGAATCAAACCGGATTCTTAGTCTCATGGGAAACTCATTCGCTCAGTACAGTAATGATGGGCCAGCCTGGGTCCCCGGCCCTGCCTGCTGCGCTGAGCGTGCGCGGTGAGCGCTCAGGCCCGCCCTGCCCTCAGAGAGCCACAGTCTAACCAGAGGGGACCATCACCCCCGGGTAGGGTTCAGGAGGGGAAGCACAGGCAGGACGGTTGTCTGTCCGTGGGGAATGGAGGCCCCACGGAGGCTGCTTGGAGGAGGTGACGTTTGAGCTAAGACCTGGGGTAGACAAGCCAACTGTGGCTCTGGGATGTGATAGGAACGCCAAGGAAACTGCATGGGTGGGTTCTGGGAGCATAGAGTGGGATGGCCCGCCCACAGTCCATCTGTCTCTGTCCCAGAGCCACCTCTCCTGTGTCCCAGAATTTATCTCTATCATGGCCCAGAAGGCACCTCATGTCTGTCCCAGAATCAATCTCTCATCCTTATCCCAGAACCTACTTGGTCCCTGTCCCCAGGACCCCTCCTCCAGTACCCACCTCCGCCCTGTCCCGGGACCCACCTCCTCCCTGTCCCAGGACCCAACCCTTCCACTTCCCAGAACCCACCTCTCATCTCTGTCGCAAAATCCACCTGATGTCTGACCTAAGAATCTGCCTCTACTGTGATAGCCTAGAACCCACCTCCTCCGTGTCCCAGAACCTACCTTCTCCTTGTCCCAGAACCTGCTTTGTCATGTCCCAGAACCCAGTTCTTTCATGTTTCAGAATACACCTCTTTCAGTGAATACCCCTCTTCCGTGAATACACCTCTTCCGGGTCTTAGACTCTACCTTGTCTCTCTCCTTTCCTTAACTTCAAAAGAGGAAGAACTTCTTTTCCCCTTTTATTCTACTAACATAAACCAAAACACATACATTGGAAAACCATAATATGCACAGATTTGCTCAAAGTGTGGACAATCAACACAGGCAACAGATTTAGAAACATTAAATGGAATGTCTCTCTTCACTGTCAGCCTAAGAGGGATTGAGGCTGGATGGGGTGGGAAAATGGGGTGGGGGGCATTTGACTCATCTCATATTCAGAAAGTTGCTCAAACTCAGAATTCTCCAAAGGCACTCATGCATTCAGTCACAGCATTATCCTGGCAGGTTTGAAAAAAAAAAAAGAAGATATTTGTATATTATAAATGTGTGTTCCGTTCCTGCACCAATGATCTGTACTGTATTATGAATTAATATTGTCTATTAATCCTATAATTGTCTTTGACCGGTGCAATGATATATCTGTAGACTCCTGCTATGCATTTGTTAGGAATATTGATTTGTTCAATGGCAATATTACCATACACGCAGTGTTGTCAACCCTGCTTACCGTTTCTTCATCGTTTTAATTTGCTGGGAGTCTCAATAAATGGAAATGACCTGGGCCTCTGTCAACCTCTGGGAGATCCTAGTAGGTGAGTTCTGCAGAAAAGGGCATCTGGGCCGTTCAGAGGCGGATTTTGGGTGAGAGCTCCAGATAAACTGACACTGTGCTCATGGAGGGGCCAAGAGGAGGACCAAGTGCATCTATCTGAATTGCCTGCCTTCAGCTTGGCTGCCACCTGCATCCTCCTGCTCTTGAGGCCTTCTTTAGGGCAGTAATCCTACCCACTGAGACTGCACAACCTATCATTACCCTGTCTCATGCACTCACAGGGTCCACCCAGCTCCCTCCTCCTACAGATAGGGGCCCAGAGAGAAAACATGCCTTGCTCAATCAAGGTCACAGCAAGTCGGTGGAAAATGTGCTTGTGGCCAGGCACGGTGGCTCATGCCTGTAATCCCAAGACTGGGAGGCTGAGGCAGGTGGATCACCTGAGGTCAGGAGTCCTAGACAAGCCTGGCCAACATAGTGAAACCCCATCTCTACTAAAAATGCAAAAATTAGCCAGGTGTTGTGGTGCATGCCTGTAGTCCCAGCTACTCTGGAGGCTGAGACAGGAGAATTGATTGAAACCAGGAGGCAGAGGTTGTGGTGAGCTGAGATCGCGCTATTGCACTTTAGCCTGGGCAACAGAGCAAAACTCTGTAGAAAGAAAAAGAATGGAAAGAAAAGAAAGAAAGAAAGAAAGAAAGAAAGAAAGAAAGAAAGAAAGAAAGAAAGAAAGAAAGGAAGGAAGGAAGGAAGGAAGAAAGGGAGGGAGGAGGGAAGGGAAAAGAAAAAAGAAGAGGGAGGGAGAAGGAGGAGAAGGAAGGAAGGAGGAGAAAGGAAGGAAGGAAAAAGAAAGAAAAGGAAAGAAGAGAGAAAGAAAAGAAAGAGAAAGAAGGAAAGAAGGAGAAGGAGGAGAAGGAAGGAGAAAGGAAGGAAAGAACAAAAGAAAGAAAGGAAGGAAGAAAGAGAGAAAGAAAGAAATGCTTGCTTGGTTGGTTGGTGCACTAAGAAACTGGTATGGTCACTTCAGAGAACAATTTGGTAGTATTCGTTAAAACAACAACAAATGTGTATACACTGAAACCAACAATTTCACGATGCTGTGTCTACCTTACAGGAATTCTAAGATAAAAGAATAGTTGTCCTTTCGTATTACATAATACTGTGAAGCTATTAAAAGAAGGAGCTAGATGTATATATAGCAATGTGGATAAAGCTCCTAGACAAATAACAGGGCAAAAATAAAAAAAGCAGAATTAGGATTGTGGTATGATTTTATCTACATAACACACACATATACATGTTGTGGGTATACACATGTATTTATATAAAAGCAGGGAAAGCACTAGAAGAATACACTAGGATGTTCTTCTATATAAAATATAAAATATTACATGTTTGTAAATGCAAAGACTATCCCTCAGAGGAAGCACACCAAATTCATCAGAGTTACAGCTTCAGGGGGCACCAAGAAGGAACAAGGAACTAGGAGCAGTCGGCAAGGGAAACTTTAGCATTTTTTGTATTGTTTTGATTTAATATTTTCAAATGCTGAAGAAGCCCAGGTTTGAATTGGGAAAACTCATGGAGCTTCATAGTGAAGGAAGCAGTTCTGGAAAAGCCACTGGGGGCAAGACGGGTGCTAAAGATGAACAAGCTGATGGATCTGAACCACCAGTCCAAGAATCTGTTTAAAGTTCAGACTTATAATAAATGGCAAATAAGAAGTCTTATTTGTGAAAAAGGAATTTGACAAAATTCAATGCCCATTCACGATGAACAACTTTCAGCAAACTAGGAATGGAAATGTCAACCTGATTTCAAAAAAAACTATGATATACATTATGAGAATGTTTCTGAAAGTGTAGGAAGACAATTGTTTTGTGAAACTTTTGTTTTACTCTGTGTGTGTGTGTGTGTGTGTGTGTGTGTGTGTGTGTTACGCTCGGTCCTAGAGAAGTTTTCAGAGTAGATACAAAGAAGAATGTTCATTACAACATTCTGTGAAAATTTTCACACGCAAATTTATACAACACAATTTGACGTAGTAAAGTGTATGAGCCAGAGCTACATGCATCAAGGTGGATAAATCTCCAAAATACAATGTTGAGCTAGAAGAGCAAATTGCAGATTGATATTTGTAACATTACATTTTTTTTGGGTGATAGGGTCTTGCTCTGTTGCCTAGGCCGGAGTGCAGTGGCATGATCTTGGCTCATTGCAGCCTCAACCTTCTGGGCTCACCTCAGCCTCCTGAGTAGCTGGAACTACAGGCATGTGCCACCATATATGGCTAATTTTTTAATCTTTTGTAGAGATGGGATCTTACTATGTTGCTCAGGCTGGCCTTAAACTCCTCGGCTCAAGTCATCCTCCTGTCTCTTCCTCCCAAAGTGTTGCGATTATAGGCATGAGCCACTGCATCTGGTTGTGTGTGTGTGTGTGTGTGTGTGTGTGTGTGTGTGTGTGTATTTATATATTCTCACTAGGGGAAAATGTATATATTATTATGTGTTTATAGGAAAAATATTTCATTCGGATGATCAATACGAATTCAGTGTAGTGGTTATGTCTGAGGAGGAAGGAAGAAGAAAAGGAGAATGAGATTTGGGAGGAGCATATAAAGGGGCTTCGACAATATTTGTAATATTTTACTCCTTTAAAAATAACCACAGAAAAATGTTAAGATTTGATAAAATCGAGTGATGGGTACATAAATATTTGTTCTATTTCTCTTTAGGAATGTTTGAAATATTATGAGATTATAAATTGTAAGAAGGCAATTTGACACAGTAAAATTAACCCTTTGTTTTTGAAAGTTGGAGTTGTGAGTTTCCAATACAACTTGAGTTATTTGGAGATTCACAAGTGCAGCTGTTTCAAGTGTGTTTCAAGAGGTTCCTGGTAGTCCCCGTGCGTGGGCAACAAGACAGAGAAGCAGAGACAGTGCCCAGGTTTCCAGCTCTTCCCTCTGATCTGCTTGACCTTTCTCAGCTTTATACATTGGCCTCTGTATTTGGAAGCTATTATAAAAGATCCTGGGACTAAAATAAGTTTGTAAACCACTGCCCTAGGCTACCCCAGATAAAAGTTGGGAAGCTTTGCTCTGAGAAATATGAAGTTAAAACTGAGTCACAAATTCTAGGGAATAAGTTTGCCTAGAATAGATTCTAGTGAATAGCCCTCCGAATGGGTTTATCACATTGGATGATTTGATTTGGTTGGTTGGCACACGCACATGAGTAATCCTAACTGTCCAGAAAGCAGAGCCACACACACACGTGTTATAAGATGAACAGATCGAAATCACCTTGTTATAAGATAAGAACAAATCGAAATCACCTTGAGCGGATCCAGTAAAGTGCTGTTAACATCTATTTAGCATTTGAACAGCGATGAACTTCCCGCTTAGGGTGCAAAGAGGTAGAGCTAGACATGAGCCTGCTGTTTGTGAAGCCTGGGGGAAAGCTTGCTTTTATACACTGGGGAAAGTGAATTAATTAGAACCTCTTCCCAAAGCCATCACCTGTCTTCCACCGGGTCACCCTGCACTTGTTCCACCTCATTACCTTTATCAGGATGTCTCATCATCCCATGTTCTCTAGGAGCTTTGGAATAGCTTTGGCTAGGCACGGAAACTAGGTGTGAGAGCCTGTATGTCTCCCAGATGGGAAAACAGAAATGAGAAGCATGGCCAGGTTCCAATAAGATATTTGAGAGAATCAGCCCGCTATAAAACCTGGAATAGAATTCAACACCTAAGTGAACTAGATCTTGTTTTGACAATGTGTGTCATTTCCCACCTCCATGAGGCTTTCTTGGTGGTAACAGACTATGACCAGTAATAGGTTTCCAGTTCTGCACCTAGTTGGGAGTGATATTAAAATTGCCTAACAATCTGTACACCATGGTGCCAACCATCAGAACAGATGCTGACCATAAAAAACAGACATGGCCATGTCAGTGCTTACTGATTCATACACCAGCTCCAGTCTGAGTGATACAGAAATCGAATCCTCAAGAAATTTCTGATGGGTTGCATCTGAGTCCAGGAGCAGACATACCTTAAAGCTTCCAGCTATAGTGAAGAAGCTTCCTCCCGTTCTGAATCTGCTTTTCAAAAATGTTCCAAACAGAGGGGAGTTGAACCACCTGTCAGCTACTTCTAAATGCTGAGAAGTCAACTGGAAAGACCATTCATTTATTCAACATAATTATTGGGCATATACTATGCTAAGCCCACTGAACATATGCAGTGATTATATGCTGGCAGCCTCTGCATTAAATCCAGCACAAAGATATGTTTAGTGTAGCCTGCACAGGGTTTTCAAAATTGCCAACATTTAAAATTTAGGAGACACCATATAAAAATTTAGATTTTCAGCGTCTCTTGGAAAACAACAATATCTGGCCACCTTGGGTCAGATTTCTGCAAAACAGCAAATTGGCTGGTGTGTGGTTTGCCTCAGTGCTCACCCAGTCCCTCTTGCTCTCCAGCTTCAGTGACAATTGTCACTTGGTACTCTTCATCTTTGCACTGCGTACAAGTATGTGTATGAGAATGTGCGCACGCGCACGTGTGTGTGTTTATAGTAAGGAAATATTTCTCTGCTTCCACGTCTCTGTCAAAAGGGGAAAAACAAAAGCCAGACCAAGAGGGCTGAATGATTTTTATTAGTCTTGGCTCCTTCTCGTGCTTCTGTTACCTGTCATGTTCAAAGACACTTGAGTTTTGCAGCTCCTGGAACACAATGATGCCAAAGAGAGAGAGAGAGAGAGAGAGAGAGAGAGAGAGAGAGAGAGAGAGAGAGAGAGAGGGAGGGAGGGAGGGAGGGAGGGAGGGAGGGAGGGGGAGAGAGAGAGAGAGAGAGAGAGAGAGAGAGAGAGAGAGAGAGAGAGAGTCCACCTCAAGTTTGCAGGAGGAAGGATTAAACTTGACAACCTATGAGAATCCCTCACATAGGAACCCCGGTAGAAGGCAGAGGGAAGGAAGAAACTTCAAGTGCAAAGACTTATATGTGTGAACAAGCTTGGCTTCAATCATGGCAAAAGGCCCGTTGTGGCTGGGACAGATCAGGGGGACTGTGTGGAGGGAGAGGAATTTGGAGGGACAGCTCAGACCTTTGAAGCCATGGTAAGGAACTTGGGTTTTATTCTAAGTGGCATAGCACAGAGTCCGCTCACCCCCCTCAAATGATCCTTAACAAGGATTGGATCTTATTGCTTCACATAGCTATGGTAACAGCAATAGCAGGAGAGAGGAGAGGCGGGTGAGGTTTGCATCTACCTAAACCATTAGTATCACTCCGGTGTCCAGCAGTGGGGTGATGATGTGCTTCCACATTGGGTCCTTTGAAGACGGCTTGCTATTTATTCATTTATTTTTAGATGTAGGTCTTGCTCTGCCACCCAGCTAGAATGCAGTGGTGCAATTATGGCTCACTGCAGCCTTCAACTCCTGGGCTCAAGTGATTCTTCAGCCTCAGCCTCCTGAGTAGCTGGGACCACAGGTGTGGTCTATCATGCCTGGCTAATGTTTTAAATTTTTTTATAGAGACGGAGTCTTGCTATGTTGCCCAGGCTGGTCTTGAACTCCTAGTCTCAAACGATCCTCCTGCCTCTCCTCCCAAAGTGTTGGGATTACAGGCATGAGCCACCGCACCCAGCCTGAAGAAGTTTTAATAAAGGGATTGAGCAGGGTTGAATAAAACTCCAGGAAGGATATGGATAGTTCTTCCAGACTAGTAACAGAATAGTAACAGACTAGTAACAGGGGAAGACCAGGAACAGGGGAGGTGTTATCCCCTTGGGCCTGAATGGACAAAGTAAGGCTACCAGAACCTGGAGAGACCCATGTTGTTTACAGAGGGCTGGATTATTCTCACAAGAGACACAGTCAGCTTGTGGTGACTCCACAAAGGGAAAGCCAGGAGAAACGGCCTCACTCTCCTCCCGACTTTTTATTTCCTGCCAGGGCTGCTCATAGGGTATACCCACCTTTGAGTTACAGGCCAGAGAGAGAGCATTCATTGATGGGGTCCACACAGTCACCTCCAGAAAGCTAGGACAGAGGGGAGGTGGCTATAGAGTGTCTTTTGGAAGGACACAAGATACTCTATTCAACCATCCAGGACACGAGACAAGGAAGTAGCACCCCTATTTGGAATAGCAGGGATGAGACTCAGGTGTGGTGTCTATAGACATTAAATATTATCTAGTCCCTCCAACTTCAGGGCAGCATAACCTCCAAGTTTCAGGAAGCCCAGGAGCCAAAGCAAGGAAAACCTTTGGGATCCAGCGAAGGATCCGAAGAGATAAGCTGTTCAGATGCCAACTCAGGGCTGCCAAGATGGTGCAGGAGGCACCTTCGATTGGTAGGATGTCCCTCGAGAGATGTTCCTGATCTGCTATTACTGGAATTTGCAACTCCTGTAAAAAGCTGCTTGGGGCATGAGTCACCCAGTCGCTGTCCAAACCACTGCCTCTGCAGCGCACCATCCCGTTCCCCCATTCTCCTCTCGATTTCTGCAGCTGCAATCTGAGAGGTATTTGTTGCCTCCAGGGAGGGGCCCCAGGACCTGGCGCCAGCATCCTTCCCCTGGCCAGCTGCCTTTGCACACTGCAGGTAGTCGGAATTTTCTGGATTCCAGGGAGAAATAAGCCTGTCTGAAGAACCTAGACAGTGTATCTTCTCATCACCTGGTGCATACCTAGAGAGAACAAGGTGAGCACCAATAGAACACAACGGGGAGTCACTTGGCTCAATGTTACGAGCTCGAGCATGGTAAATGAATTTAGGACAGCTCCACGGAGCTATTTTCTTTGCATTTCTTTTTTTGTTTTGGTTTGTTTCAGCCTAAGACAACATCCGATTCCTTGCATTTCTTAATAATGAGTTTGGTCTGCATGCATCTGGTAGTTTTGCAGAAGCCTGAATCAGACGCATTAGGGGTGAGTTCAGTTCTTTGTTTTTCTTGCAAGCTTGCTTTTTGTTGTCTTTTTGTCCGTATTTTCTCCCCGCTTACACCTGTCTAAGGTAGTTACATATCAGCCCTGCCAGATTCTATCTAGGTAGTTCAGCAGTGGAGTGGGAGGGTGTTCAGGTCACGATGTGACGGTTAGAAACTCAACCTGCTGGCTGACACATATGACCTACCTAGAACTGAGAGGCTGTGTACTCAGCGTTCCTCCAAGTCTTTTGCTGGCAACGTCATCATGATTTCTGTCAACCCAAGAGGCACTGTTTAGAATTTTTGCCTTTACAAACTCTCAATTCATTTGGTGGAAGAAAACAAGGAGCTTCAGGCTCAAACGTAGGTTTGAATCCTCATTTTACCCATCACTGGTTATGCAGCCTTAGACATGCAGTACTGAAGCTCTCTGAGCCTCAGTTGTCCGTCTGTGACAATGGGCTTATTACCAACTTCACAGTATTGTCGTAGCAATTAAATGAGATGATGTAAGCAAACCACTTACACACAGTCTGACTTAGGGGTAGCCAGCAATTTTAGTTTCCTCCTGTGCTCAGCCTCTTCATCCACCAAAGCACACACATTTTAACCATTTTTATTCGAGCTGCTGACTCCAGGATCTTGCTTAACCAGAAGAAGAGTTAGCATGGACATGAAGAAGCTTTCGCTACTCCTTGTAGCTCCCTTGACCCAGGCAACATAGAACCCTCACCAAACCTTCTGCTAGGTTGTGTCATATGAAGAACGTGATGTCTGATGCACCATGTTGATTGGGAAGTGACAGATTCAGAGCAGTGAGCTGAAGTGCAGGAGGTGGGTGGGCAGGGGTCACAGAACATAAAGGTGTGTAAGGGACCAGGGGAATTGAGAGGTGCTGTGACAAACTGAGGAACTGCTGAGAATTCCAGGGAATGAAATTTAAGCCTCCCTCATGGGGCCACGTAGGGGATATTGGACAGATTTGCCTGGCACATAAGAGGCCCTCAATTAATATTGGTGAATGAATACATTTGGAGATTGGGTCAATGGGCAAACCGTTGGTGGTCTCAGGGAACTTAGAAGAACCAGGTTCCTGCTCAAATGCCCCTTATCAGAGAACCCTCTTTGACACATGCAACAGCATTCCACCAGCCCTCCCTACAGTGTTTATTATCATATTGAATATTTATTTATTTATTTATTTATTCTTGAGACAGAGTCTTGCTCTGTTGTTCAGGCTGGAGTGCAATGGCGCAATCTTGGCTCACTGCAACTTCCACCTCCTAGGTTCAAGTGATTCTCCTGCCTCAGCCTCTCAAGTAGCTGGGACTATAGGTGTGTGCCACCATGCCTGGCTAATTTTTGTATTTTTAGTAAAGACAGGGTTTTGCCATGTTGGCCAGGCTGGTCTCGAACTCCTGACCCTTGGGTGATCAACCTGCCTTGGCCTCCCAAAGTGTTAGGATTACAGGTGTGAGCCACTGCACCTGGCCATATTGCATATTTATTATATACTTATTTGTTTATTCTTTGTCTTATTCACTAGCCTATAAGCCCTACAAGGGCAGGATGTGGTCTCTTTGGGTCTCTCCTGTATCGTAAGTGACTAGAGCAAAGCTTGGCACAGAGACTCAGTAAGTTTGTTTGTTTGTTTTGAGAAAGGGTCTCACTCTGTAACCCAGGCTAGAGTGCAGTGGTATGCTCATGGCTTACTGCAGCCTCTGTCTCCTGGGCTCAAATGATCCTTCTACCTCAGCCTCCTGAGTAGCTGGAAGGCTGCTTGGCATCCCAGCTAATAAAAAAATTAGCAGACCAGGCACAGTGGCTCAGGCCTGTAATCCCAGCACTTTGGGAGGCTGAGGGAGGTGGATCACCTGAGGTCAGAAGTTCGAGACCAGCCTGGCTACCATGGCAAAATCCCATCACTACTAAAAAGTACAAAAAAAATAGCCAGGCGTGGTGGTACATGCCTGCAGTCCCAGGTACTAAGGAGGCTGAGGCAGGAGAATCACTTGAACCTAGGAGGTGGAGGTTGCAGTGATCCGAGATTGCGTCGCTGCTCTTTAGCCTGGGCAACAGAGTGAGATTTTGTCTCAAAACAAAACAAAACACACACACACACACACACACACACACACACACACACACAATTAGCAAGGCTAATTTTTGTAGAGATGGGGTTTCACCATGTTGTCCAGGCTGATCTTGAACTCCTGGGTTCAAGCAATCCACCTGTCTTGTCCTCCCAGAGTGCTAGGCTTATAGGCGTAAGCCACCATGCCCAACCTTCAGTAAGTGTATTTAAATACATGATTGCAGACATGAGAGCTATTACAGAGGTGGGCAGGGACGAGAGGGCCTGGGAGAGACTTGCAGTACTTCTCAAACTTCAGTTGCCTGAGACTCACCTGTGGCCGGGTTCAAACTCCTGACCTACTCAATCAGAATCTGAATCAGGAGGCCTGCATTTATCAGCTGTTCTGGTAGTTCAAATGCACACATTTTGAGAATCACACTGAGAAACGCTTGCCTCATAGAAACAGATGGATTCCCCCAACAATAGATCTCCCTTATGGAGTAGACTTCCTCTCCACCTATCTCCAGATCACTTTGCAACGCCCAGGCACTCGATCTAATAGATCTTCACAGTTTTATAGATGGCCTTGATGAAGGCCACCCAGAATAACTTGATGAAAAGGAAGAGACAGATTTCTCCAAACCACTCCATTCAAAAACGATGCTCCAGGTCTTCCAGCACACCCCTACTTACTCTCACATGATAAAAATATGTATCTATTTATTTTTACTTTTAGTCCGTTAGTGTCCATTATCCAAGAATAGTCTCTAGTCTCTCATTTCTAAATGATCCTTTGTGTCCGAGTTGCTCATTTTGGAGAGTAACCTCAAAGAAGGAGGATTGCAACTTCTATTTTCTATCTTCTCTTAGAGCCAGCTGTTCAAGAGGATATTCACTTAATGCTCCTAACTCCTTGACCAATTAACAGCCACAGCAGGGCACTGAGTAAGGGATTGAAACATGAAAATGATGACAATGCAATACTAATAATAACAGCTTGTTGGAAATAACAGCCTCCAAGTTTCTCCCTTTCCATAACACCAATGATGCTGGGCGCGGTGGCTCATGCCTGTAATCCTAGCACTCTGGGAGACCGAGGTGGGTGGATCATGAGGTCAGGAGATCAAGACCATCCTGGCTAACATGGTGAAACCCCGTCTCTACTAAAAATACAAAAATTAGCTGGGCCTGCTGGCACGCGCCTGTAGTCCCAACTACTTGGGAGTCTGAGGCTGGAGAATCGCTTGAACCCGTGAGGTAGTGGTTGCAGTGAGCCGAGATCACACAACTGCACTCCCACCTGGACGACAGAGCAAGACTACGTCTCAAAAAAAAAAAAAAAAAGTAACACTAATGACTTAATGTAAGAAAAGAGGAATTTACCTTTTCGTTTTTTGAGATGGCGTCTCCACCCAGGCTGGAGTTAGTGGCACGACCATGGCTCCCTTGATCAGTTCAGCCTTGAACTCCTGGGCTCAAGTGAGCCTCCTGCCTCCGCCTCCTAAGTCTCTGGAACTACAGGCACATGCCACAATGCCTGGCTAAGTTTTATATTTTTTGTAGAGATGGGGCGCCACTATGTCACCCAGGCTGGTTTCAAACTCCTAGCCTGAAGTTATCCTCTCACTTCAGCCTCGCAAAGTACTCGAATTACATGCGGGAGTCACTGCTTGGCAACAAAGGAATTTTTCTATTGCTATGTAACTTTTGCCTTTTCTTCCTGATTCTTTTGCTTCCTTTTCTAAGCCATCAACGCTATCTGGCTCTAAAAGAAATTATTCATGTAGACTCAAGAAGTTTATGCTCACAGTATGGATTTCTAGGTTAACATAGAGAGACGGGACTTTGCAGGATGAACAAAAGGGGGTGCTGACAATTTTGCTGTTGCTGACTCGCCTTACATTTAAAGCATAAATTGCGGCTCATGCTTGTAGTCCTGGCACTTTGGGAAGCTGAGGTGCGAGGACTGCTTGAGCCCAGAAGTTCAAGATCAGCCTGAGCAAGATAGGGAGATCCTGTGTGTACAAAAAATAGAAAAATTAGCTAGGCAGGGTGGTGTATACCTGTAGTTCCACTGCTCAGGAGACAGATGCAAGGATGGCTTAAGTCTGGGAGTTCCAGGCTGCAGTGAGCTATAATCGTGCCACAGTATTACAGCCTGGATGACAGAGCAAAACTCTGTAAAAAAAAAAAAAATTAATAAAGAGGCATATATTGGCAGGACAGATGGTTTTTGCCCTCTGCATTTGTGGAAATGTTATTTTACTCCTGTGCCCACCACTGATGGAAAAAGCAGTGGTGGAGTCAGTACAGGGCTCATGCCTGTAATCTCAGCACTTTGGGAGGCCGAGGAGGGTGGATCACCTGAGGTCAGGTGTTTGAAACCAGCCTGGCTAATGTGGCGAAACCCCATCTCTACTAAAAATACAAAAAATTAGCTGGGCTCAGTGGTGGGTGCCTGTAATCCCAGCTACTCAGGAGGCTGAGGTAGGAGAATCGCTTGAACCCAAGAGATGGAGGCTGCAGTGAGCCGAGATCTCACCATTGCACTCCAACCTGGGTGACAAGAGTGAAACTCCATCTCAAAAAAAAGCAGTGGTGGAAGAATGAAAACCAGGACTCATAAGTTGGCCATTGCTGGTGGTGGTGGTGATCACGATAATGTGTATCTGTGCATCTATGCTGCAGAAGATTCATCTTTTATTAAAATGCTTCTGATGATTCTTCGGAATCGAAATCAGAAATCTTTCCATCTTTTCTTTTCTGCCATCTCCAAGAGCCCATGTTTTGACTACCAGAAGCCAACTTCCATTCCTCTCACTTGTAGGTGCTTGCTACACTCCTGTAGATTCTACCTCCCATCTTCCTCACAAGCATCTCTTTCCCATTCTCTCTGCTACTCTGGTAATTCCAATCTGCACAGT